GGCTCTCGAGATGGCGGAGCTCGCAAGAAGATAAAAACTTGTGTGCGCATCGATTGCTTTTGTTAGCAAAGCAGGCTTCTTTCCGGCCCTTGACGCTACGGTGAAGCCTCGTACCACCTCACACACGGTGTTGGTGCCCTCCATATGTTCGATACCGAATTCTTCAAATGCCAGTGCGAATCGCTGGCATGCTGCACTCAAAAACGAGCGGTTCTGGACACTGCGGCTTCTGCGCTAGCCCTTCTCAGTGGCAGCTTGCTACTGGGCAACAGCCTGCATAGCACAAAATGCGTTCTGATGACGCATGACGAGCTTACATACCAGCTTGTGTCATGCACATTTGCCATCACTGCATGGATGCTTTCCAAGAGGCATTGTCCGCGGCATGTGGTTCCATGCCTAGACGCACTGAATAGTGCTTTGTTTTCTTGGATTTGGACATGCGAAGGAAGATGGTGTCGCACCTCAGTGCACGTGCAACAAATCTTCGGTGCAGTGACAATTGCGCGCAGTGCAATATGGCTGATGACAAACCGAAGAACGCGGCCTGCTATGCGGATTGGGAGAATGATGCCGACAGCGATCCGGGAAATTTGGTGGCCTTCAGGCCCGTCTGGAAGGTCCAAGCAAGATGCTATAGACTTGTTCCTGTGCATGCAGCTTGCTGCCCTGCAAAAGCCTCAAGAAGGGAACGATTCAGCATGGCTGTATTGCTGGTGGCAGCGAGGATTTTGCTATGTGGGCATGGCGCGTGCCAAGCGTGGCGTGCAGTGCAAAGCAGGGGGTGCTCTTAGCCGCTTTGTAGAGCACATTTCTCTCCACACACGCCCGCATCACAGAGATGCGCAAAAGCTTCGCTACCGCCGTGCGAGAAATTTCGCTGGAGGATCCTTCTGGTGGATGGTGACCTTCGTCGGCGGAACATCCCAGGTGGCTGCCGCCGAGGCCCTAGAGATCAAACTGCACAAGCCGAATGCCAACTGCCCTCCTACCGCGTCCGCGGGTGATCAGCCTGTCAGAATGAGCAAGCGCAAGCGACCTCATCGATGGCACCGTCAACCTGCAAAAAAACTTTGCCCCAAGCACGCTGCGTGGGAAGGCCCTGTGGGAAGCCTTCAGCTAACGAAGCACATGGCTCCGCTGGCAGCAAGCGATGTGGACATGGCAGACTGGTCCTTTTCCCAGGCCTACAAGCACTTGCAACATTGCAACCTAGGAGCATTTGGCGTGCCAGGTGCTTTGAATATCTACGATCCTGGCTGCGAACTTGCGGTCTGCCAACGACAAAAAACGTTGTTGCGCGGGTGCCAATACCCGAGATGTTGAACCCTGCGAAATGCCAGTTCAGGAAGATTTTGAGGCAGCACTTGCAGCCACAGACTGCGCAATGGTGTTTCTCCCGCATACGCTTCTGCCATGGCAAGCCGCGCTGTCATCAAGATGCATGGACACATGTTCGGCATGCGAAAGACATGAACTGGGACATGTTCGACAACATACCGTCCAGTGTCATGCAGGACACCTTAAGCGGGCCAGGATTGCGCAGGGTAGACAAGGCCTGGGATGTACCGTGCTTCTTGAACAATGAGGACCTGCGGAAAACATTTCAGCATTGTGTACGTACAGCGCTTGCTCGTGTCAAAGCTTGCAAGTACAACTGCTGGCCTTGCCTTCCGGATAAACCTCTAAAGGCGTACTGTGCGAGGCGAGATGCTTGCAGACCCGCTTACATGGAACATACTAAAGACATGAAGCAGGTGCCAGGCTCCTCAATTGTGCCCGATGACAAAAACAAAAAACATGCTTGGCGGATGTCACAAGATGCCTATCGATTCCTCCTTGCCTACTTCGTGTTGTTAGCTGCGAACTGGCGGGTGACATCCTTGGATGCATTAGACGCGAACAAGCTCTGCCGTGAGCATGTGGCCTCTTTGCTCCCGCGACATTTGTTGACATTCTTGGGCATGAGGCGCAAAGCCTGGCTTCTTCCATATGCTTATGCAATGATTAAAGCCAAATGCTTCACGCCGCAGGGGCGTACATGCTTGTCACCAGGACACTCATGCATCCGGAAGGTCATAAGCTTCGCGACGTGGCCAAAGAAATCGCGCTGGCGGATGATATCCAGAGGACTGCAAATCGCGCTGCAGCGCGGGCTTACCTGCTGGCAGGTGTGGACCATGCGTGATGCCCCTGCCACACTGCGCAAGAGAATGTCCATGCTTACCAGGCCTGAAGACGCTTTTGTATGTTGCAGATGTGGATGCAAGAAGGCAGCCGTAGAAGCTACAGCGCACGATGCTGGTCAGTTCTTTGAATGCGTCAGTGTCATGGATGCACTACGCGCAGCGAAGGAAGTTCTCGACATGACAGTTGCACGCACAGGATGTTTCTATGTTTGTGTTTTTCGTAGAAAAAAGAAAGCCGGCTTCCTTTCAACCCATAACTTCCCCTTCTTGGCCAGAAAGATGCGATGCTTCAACTTCCAGGGAATTTTTCTAGTTTTTGCAGCCGCCATCTCAGTGACATTCGTTTCAGTGGGATCACGTGTGATTCAGCTTTCCACCCTCTCCATCGGCGGCATCATGTCCATGATTGCCTCTGCTGTGGCGCTGTGCCTGAATGAACACAAGTGGCTACAAGACAGCAGTGTGCAGAGTACGCATAACTTTGAAGGTTCAATACCATGGGAGCAACAAGTAGCTGCTTTACGATACGTGGACGACCTACTTCAAATCAGTGCCATGTATTGCGCAAGCTGCCTGGCAATTGTCCCGAGCCTTGTGTACGATGTTCCCTTCAAATTGGCGAGCCGTGGCACTACTGTAACATGGATTGACCTGCAAATTGACGTAGAACATGAGATTATTGGCATGGTCCAAAAGCATGCAAACATCAAGCCCCCGTGGGCCGCCCCACGCGGGTACGCACGCTCCTGGCTTTGTGGAAGATTTGCAAGATGGCAACAGGTCGGTTTGTCTCATGCGCAGACTGTTGCAGAAGTCACACATGCATTTTGGGAGCTGCTTGAACATGGCTATTCACCTAAAGCTTTGAGGGCAATTGTCTATTCTTTCAAGCACGAACGGTGGGCAGCAGAGTATCGAGTGCTTCAAGCATGTTACTCTGTTGCAAAAGCCCGCCAACTGTGAGCTCACTCTCAGTTCAGGCCCGAGTTCACCTACATTCCTGACGCAGCTAGTGCCGCCATGCTGCCGCGCCTCATGAGAATAGGGCTGCCATGGGGATGGTTGCTAAACATGGCACTGGCTACAAACAGGTTTGGCCGAAATGGTGAGCGTTTTGGTGCGGCCAAGCCAGGGACCTCAGGCAGAAGAGGAGAGGATCGTTCTCGCTATAGAGAGCCAGTGCAACGTGTTGTGCTGGATATCCGAACCAACGAAACTTCAGACCGCTCCCGCAAGAGGAGCCGGAGAAGGAAGAATCGTTCCTCTTCATCTGAATCCAGCTCCTCACGGGACAGGGCCAAGAAAGACAAGCAAGAGATTGCCCGGTTGAAGGACCTGGTGGCAAAGATGGAAGCGGCGGAACAGAAACGGGAGGCCGACTCAAAACAAGCTGACACTGAAGCTGCTAGAAGACGGGAGATGGAAGACTTCAAAGCCTCAGTGATGGCCTTGCTGCCAAAACAGCCCGTGCCATCAGTGCAAGGGGCAGCCCCAGGCACGGCAATGACTACATCACCCTTCACAGCTGATGGTGCTCAGCGAGCGAGCTATTTCATACACGAAGTAGCAGATCTATCAGGTAGCGCGTCGTGGGATGATGTAGAGTGCAAACTGAAGACGGCATCAAACACCAAGCTCAAAGAGATGCTCCAGCGAAAGGGCATCGACGATGTTCCTTCTTCAAAGCCTGCAGTCGTCAAAGCTGTGATGCGCATCCTGAAAGCCGAGTACGCATCATCTCAGTGATTATCAGCGAGCTCTACAAACCATGTGTTTTACTTCAATCACCTGATGCTTGTCATAGTCTTTCTGGCAGGAGCTGTGAGTGTCATTGTGATGTGCGAGAGCAAGCCCAGATCCTGGATGCCAGCATGGCTGGCAGCTCCCATGGAGGTCGCAGGAGCAGTTCGCACACTAACATATCATCGAGGGCTAGTGCAGCAAATCGAAAGCTGGGTGGGAATGCCCATCTTGGTGTTTGGAGCTGCACTCCCACCCATGATCGCAGTGAGTGTGCTAAACTGGGCATTCCCTTCGCGTTTGAGGCAACTCTTACCATTCCTACTGGCAGGCAAAGTGCAAGAACGAACATTTGCACAGGGTGGCCATGGCAGACACTACAGGAGTTTGAAGACGAACCCCACGTTGCAGAGCTCAAATTTCCTCCAGCATGACCTCTCCCAGCTGATGATCCCAGTTCCCATGTAGTTTGACATCAG